AGTATATTTTTTGTTTTTTTTGTCGTAAATTTTTGAATTTCTATATTATAATTTTAATAATTTTTTATTTCTATTATTTATTAATTTTTTCTTTTTTTAATATTTTATAATATTGTTAAAATCTTATAATTTTAATCTCTATAATTTTATCTTATTTTTTATTTTATGAGTTTACATAGAAAAATGTATTGAAATCCCTCGATCTTTGAGGGTACCGTAACAACTCCCAGCTAAAAAATGGATATTTTTTTTATTGGACATAATTAAATTATCCTCACGATGGATGCCTATACACTAAACTGAAATCCATAGTTGCTTACACGTTTTCCTGATTTGATGTACAAAATAAAATCATATTCACCACAGGAAAACTTTGTAGTAAATGTACAATTATTACCTGCAATGTTATATAAAATTGAATGTTAGGTGGTAATAAAAATTTCAAGAGAATAAATTCGATTTAAAAGAAAAGAAAATGTTAGGTTAGATGAAGAAACGTATTTAATAAGATAGAATTAGGAATGAGAAACGTTAGAGAAATTTTTTGAAAAGAATCTCTTGCAAAAAGATGGTAAAATCTTGTCTTTCAGTGGTTTGGATACGTATGGAGAAGACTTGTATAACCCACGTAAATCAGATCGAGGGTGGTCCAATGATTATTATAACATAAATAAATCAATAACTAAGAATGATTTAGAAACCAACAGTTTTCTACATAACTTAATTTCAACTCAACTTAACATCCACGTCCCATGTTTTCCCCTGCATGCATTCATCAAAGCGTTGCAAGGAGATCGAGATTGCAACCACGCAAAATCTTATCTATTTTTCTTCTTTTTAAGTTAATTTCCCTTCGCATATCACTTCTAAAAGAAGAGTAGCTCTATTAGGGGAGAAGTTACCTCCACGAACCCCATAAGGCTTGATTACTTCATTAAAATCTCCAACTATCATCCATGGGTGATGGATCATACTATGCATGTTTTTAAGATTTTCCAACGACTGAACTCTAAAAATAGAATGAGGACTAGCATAGATATAGCACAACTCCAAGAGAGATTCCTGTGTGTCCCTGTAAAGGAGATTGCTTGGTTGAAGCTTTAAACCATTGTGGTTTGGAACGTCTTGTTGATTGGGGGGCAGAACACAAATGCCTCCAGTATGTTTGGCATCCTCCACAATATGGCACGCTTCATATCCCATTGAATTTTAGAGCTTTATCGTCGGATGCAAATAAGCAATGAGTTTCAAGAAGGATAAAGATATCTGGTTTGTATAACTTAACTAGTTCACAGACACACCACCTCCTTTTAGTGTTTACTGCTCCCCAAATATTCTAGAAAATAATATTCATATCTTTAAAACTATCCATAAAAGCTAGTGGGAGGGAATGTAGCCCAAATTTGAGATCATTTCATCATCGATAGGTGATGAGTCCTCTTGAGCCATAAGTGACTCCTTCATAGGTTGGTACTTGTCATCGGGGTCATCATCCAAACTTGCTGCAGCCACAAGCTCCTTGGATGTCCTAGTATCATCCCCTAGATTAAGGATATACCTGTTACCCTTGGCATGAATGAGATTCAGAGATGTCTTAATATCATTTTTGGATACGGAGCTTTCACCATGCAACCCTATTTTCCCAGTTGGCTCATGGATAACAATTTGTATTATTCATGGTTATGACTGAGAAGTGAGAACCTCACCCAATTAGGCTATTGAATTTTCTTGAGAGATAAAGGTTGCTAGAGGAGCCTTTCCTCGATCAACGGTGTCTTTCATTCTTTTTGCCCACTACACACCTAACCTTTGTCTATTGTTGCCTCCGTAGCGACAAAGTCTACAGAACCTTTCGTTACAATTAAGTAATGGTTCAAATATCATCCAAGGGCCACCGTTCACAACCTTATCTTGATCCACTTCTAGGTCAAAATTGACAATGTAGTAACCATTAGTTACGCCCATCAATTCAAAACCTCCTTCCAGTTTCCAGATTGATTGTATTTTCTCTCTCATTAAGAGAAATCCAATATTCTTTCCTAACAGCTTCACCACCAAACACTTCTTCCATGGGGTACATAAATCATCAAAGGTTGTTGGTTCAATAGTAAATTTGGGTAGCAACCCGTTGCCACTTTCATATTATAATTTCATTTCTCCATCCTTGATAAGATTCCTCGGTTTTTTAGGGCTAGAGTTAGCCCCAAGTAGTTTTTCCCTAAATGTCTTCCTGCGTTGATCCTCCATGTCTCCATCATCAGGTGATTTCGCAGGGATGTCACCATGACTTTGGTTGTCCCACTCTATTGTCACCATTGCACTAGTTAAAAATATCCAGACCAATAATTGCAAGTGTCTTTGAAATAAAAAAGTACTTTAAAAAAATTAAAATTGACAAGTGTATGGGACAAAATGATAGCTACAGCGAGAAATTCTCAACAAGTTTATGAGGACTGCACGAAGTTCACCAATAAACTTTTTGGAAGCCCAATTCCAGTGAGGATACCAAAAATTTTAACAAAGGCTGAGGAATTATGACATATATACACCTCCATTCTATTTTATGATAAGTACACTTTTTTTATAAAAAAAAAAATCTTAATATATATATATATATATATATATATATAAATTAAGTCAACCTCCTTTTCCTTTTTTAATAAAAATAAATTCTTAAAATACGAAAAAGAAAAGGAGAAAATTATAAAGTAAATAATAAAGGAGTAAAATTTAAAAAAAAATACAGGATAAAAAATATAAAAGAAGAGATGTACTTATAATAAAAGGGTGGTGTATATATCATGAGCCAAGGCTGAGGTGGTGTTGACCTTCTAGGCCCATGTGGTCTACGGAATGGAGGTGGAAGAGAAGCAATTGTTGAGCAGTTAATATTGGGCTTGGATGTGGGAATGCAAAAATCATGATATTTTAGGAACCAAAACTAGACAATAATTTTGTTTCATTTTTATTTTTATTTTATTGTCTTTGTCTCCTTTTTCAGTTCTTTAAATTGTTATATTTTTAAAATTAAAACTGTTTTATAAATAAATAAAAAAAGGGGGAAAAGAAAAGGCAAAATAAAATAGAATAATAATAAAAACTTCAACAAAACCAAAAAAAAAGAGAAAAAGAAATAGCATATTCAAGTGATATGACTAATTTTGTTTGAATAATTAAATAAATTAATAATGTCAAAAATAATATATATATATATATATATATATATATATATATATTATAGCTACTATATAGTGCATCAAATTTAATTATAATAATTCGTAATATAATTTGTTTAAAATTATACAAAAGTTTTATTTTATCTCTAAAATTTTAATTCATGAAAGATAATTTTAATAATATATTCAAACGTGTGAAATGAAAAAATTCCTAAAATTTTCCTAGCATTCAATTGTTTTTTTTTATAAAGAAAAGTGAAATAATAAATATATTCATTACATTAATTTTTGCATCATCAAGCAATATAAATAAAAGTCAGATGATAAAACTAAAATGACAAATAAATGACAAGTTTTATAATAAAACATAATCATTTTAACACATCACTAACATTATTATCCTTTTATATATTTAACAATTAACATATATGCATATAGTTAAACTAAAATAATAATTAACTCCGCGTGAGAAGGATGGGGGCTGACTTTGATCATTGTAGAGCCATAACACTTATAATTTTTATGTTAGTTTTTATGTATAATTAAAATTAAATTTATTTATTATGTGCATTTGAGTTTTTAAAAGACGTTCATAACCCAATGAATTATAAATTTAACCATTAATATTATTATAAAAATTACATTATTTAAAAGGATACAAATAACATAAATTTCACTTTAAAGTTTCGATACTTATATAAATTAGAAAAGAATAATTTTATATGTATTTGCATTTTACAATTTGCACTCAACTTTTTGCACTAACTCTATAAATTTTAAATTCAACATTATGTATTTTAGCTAATTATGAATTTAAAAAAAATAGAAACCTAATTATCAATTGTTATATTAAAGCTTTTAAGTAGCAATGATGTTTAGAAAATAGTAGTATTTTATTTGAATATAAAAATCTCTATAATATTTGTATATTGTTCTAGTTATTGACTTATAATTATTTATAAAATTAGTTACTAATTTACAAATTAAAAAATAAAAAAAAAAAGTAGAGAGGAAGGCCCAACAACGAAAGTGGTGAAGCAGGGTGACAGATATCGTGGAGGTGACGTGTGGTGTGGATATAAAAGAAAAAAAAATCCATAAACCCTTTCACTGAAACCCTTTCATTCTAAAAACCTTTCTTTTGGTCGAACACCATGAGTGGCTTCCGAAGCAGCTCCAACTCCAATTTGGACAACCTCCTCCTGGAGACCATGATGGGAAGGCTCCAGCTGCGAGCTCCGATCAACAACCCCTTGGTCACGCAGTCCCTCGAGGATTTCCTCTTCAACGACCTCGACGACGAGGACGACGACGACGACGAAGGGAAATCGGAGCTGATGAGAGAGGAGGCGAAGCTGGAGAGGGAAGTCATCAAGATCATCCTCCGCGGCGACGGCGAGACCCTGCTCAAACCTAATTCGGGCCAGGCCGTGTCGGTGCGCGACCACCACATCTGCGTGGGGTTTCAAGACGAAGAGGCTTCGGGTTACAGGGTGTGGGAGTGGCACGGCCACATCATGGCCTTCGATGATGAATTCGGGTACAATCCGGAGTATATATATGGGAATTACTTTCAGTGGTTTAAGCCTAGACCATCTACTGGTGCTGCTGCTGCTGGTGCTGCTGTTGAGGCTCTTCAGAAGGAGAATGAGGAGGAGGAAGAGGAAGAGGAAGAGGAGGAGAAACAGGAGAATCAGGGGTTGAGAGAATTGATTGATACCAAGGATTCCACTGAGGCTCGGATTCTTCATAGGAACATCAACGCTGCTTCTCCGAGGTTTGCGTCTAAATAACCCCTTTTTTCCTTTTTTGCTCACAGATTAATCGAATGTTGTTTAAATAGTTAGTGGGGTGATTGCTTGAATGGGGTATGAGGCAAGTCACACATTCATGAATGTACTCCTGGCAGTGCCAAGGTTTTTCTTAAACTAGGGTAGGTATCGTGTTCTCATATTTATAGTGGATCAAGTGTCTTTGAACATGTTTGGATTCACGCCAATTTTGGTTGGACGTGGATCAGGGGAACCAACAATTAGTTGCTTTTGTATTAATTTTGATGTAATTCCTGTCTAAACATGCACTCTGTCAATCTGCGTTCAAGTGTTGGTTAGGTTTTTTCTTCTCTGACTTCATATGCACATTGCTTGTGTGTTTGAGTGAATGTTTCTAAAATTGTTTTTGAGTGAATTGTATAAGCAGATTAGTAATAAAATCTCGGTATAAATTTGTTTATCCAATGCAAAAGATACTTAAAGATAATTTGTGTGTGTTTGAATTGGCTTTCCATTCTACCAAAACCAACTACAAAACAACGATGAAGGCAAAGTAACAAATAGTCAATTTAACTTTTTCAATGTTTCACCTTGATTTTGGGGGTCGAATTGATTATAGGAGGTATCCAAACACACTAAAAGTTGTTTCTGGAATCTGGATTCAGAATCAAATTTTCAACATTGAACCAAGCATGTAAATATTTACCTAAAATCATGTTGATTGGTATTTCAAAGTGATTTTGAGTGATAACATGAATCCAAACATGCACCAAGTTTTAGATGCTGTCTGGTGGGTGCAAAATTACAAATTATTTCCATGAACATAGGAATGTCAGATGGTGCAAAATCCAAACATGCACTAAGTTTTAGATGCTGCTGGTGAGATTGTAGTTTTGGTCCTTCTAATTTTTCCTCAAGTTGATTTTGATGCTCCTTATTCCAATTATAGGGTGGATTCACGGTCTGGCATGTCTAGGAACAACCCATTGACTATGGTGTTTGGCATTGTGCTAAACACATGATTTCAAGTTTAGACTCAAATCTAATTGAAGCTATTAGAAGTAGGTTTTACAAAACTAACTTGAGTTATATTATATACGTTCCATGTCTACCCTTCGTTAGATTCAAGTTGTTTTGGTAATTGCGCATCTAAAATCAATTTTCATAGCAAGATTCTAAACAACATTGTGTGTCAAAATTATTTTTCTAATATATGTTATTAAAACAATAACCACACTACTATAAACTCGTGTTTACTTAGAATCAATTTTACAAAAACATATCCAAGCACGCACATAATAACATCTTCCAGTGGTTTTTAAATTGATGCAAGTCAGTTGTTGTTGATGCGACTTCATCTCTGTTTGCATTGGTTTGTCTTTTTCTTTTGCTGATTTAGCTGTAAACATTGTGAGATATCAGTCTTTAATGTCGACTTTGCTGATGTGAAGATGAGATTGCTTTTTGCCAAATCAGTGACAGTGTGACAAGAAACATTGTTGCTTTTGTAAATATGAGAGACACCAAAGTTAAGAGAACAACACTAATTAAATTAAGCCTGAAATTTCAAATTTAAGGGAAACACTCAAACTATACTTCTGTTGATTTGAAATTATATACATAGTTTCGTACTGATCAGTCACCGGTGCTTGATATTAACATCTTTGATAACTCACGGTTCGTGCATTGGCTTGTATTCAGTTGAAAGCATTGGAGGTTAAAGGAGATGATTTCATTAGTTAATAACTTGCTTTTTCATTGTATGGTTAACTTGGTGTGAACTTGCTAAATACACCAGTGCCTTCTTTTGGAAGTTTTTGCTTCTAAACCAAGTGCATGTTTGGTTTAGAGTCTCTGAACATTGGATCATCACCAAGCCAAAAGCTACTACAAATAGCTTTTATCTTTCTGTCTTGGTTTGATGTGAAAATATAATAATAAGCTTGCTAAGGACACTGGCCAAATCCATACACTTGCAAATGTCGGCTTACTGCTGTGAAGATAATACAAAGATCTATTCCTTTCGTGAAGTATTTTGCAAAAACTAGAAGATAAAATAGGCATAAACTGCTTAGTCATTTAAAGAAGCTGGGAAACTCCATGGAATATGAATTGGGAATACATTTCTAAATACTAATAGCTTTCAATTTCACTTCACCCATTGTATACAACAGCAATTGCTGTCAGTTTTGTTTGTGCCAGCACTTTCTTAGACTCCATCTGCATACGACTGTAAAACTTTGTTTAAATAATTCTGCATTGGCATCGGAATACTTTTTTTTTATTCATTAGAATCGAATTTGGTATCAAGAGAGATTTATAACAACTCACGAGCCTTACTCAACCAATCGAAATATACTTCCTTCAATTACTTGGTATCGGAATACCCTTTTGGGATTTCTTTATCTGATTTGTCCTTGTGTTATGCTGTGATCTGACATTTTTATTATCTGTTTGATTGCATAATGTGCAAGCCTTCAACTGATTTGAATGTTTTGTCATCCACGTTTGACTTCTCTCATGTTTTCCCCTGTTGTGGCAGGTACTAGATAAGAAATGATTCTTCATCGGAAATTCAAGTTCAGAGGGTTGCGAGCAGAGGTTGTAGTCAGCGTCTCATTTCATTTGTTAAGCAAAGATTGATTTCCCCTGCTTTTCACAGTTTAAATCTCAGAAGCCCACTTCCATGGATCTGTTTTGAGCATTAAATTGCATACTGTAAAGGATGTGATACATTTCTACAATAATACATTATCTTTGCTCAGCTTATTAATCTTATAGCAAATTGTTTCTTTTCCCTTTTGCACTAAAGCTGGCTGTTGTGAACTTGTTATGGTAGATGCTTCATTTACGGGTTTAAATGAGGTCAAAAAGCAGAGAAAAAAACATTGGGGACAACTAACCCACAATTTTAGCTGATTCACGGAGAAAAAAAAAGTTGTATGTTTGATTTTAAAGTTAAGTCAATAAATGAAATAGACTAACATTTATAAAATTAAGTCATTATTATCAGTATTGTAGGCATGTTAAGTTTAAAAATTGTGTAAAATTTGACCCTTTTAATTAAAAAACTTTAGAAAAAAATTGATTTATTTCGTAACTAGGTATAATTTAACTTAAAGTTAGGTCAAAAGTCTTGACAAATGACTTAATATGTTTTCACACTTCATTTTGGATTTAGAAATTTAGATTTTTAATCTTGATCTTAACGATGATAACTTGTCATCCACGGGTTAGTTTGTTGTCTTGTGAAAAATTGGCAGATTGACTTAGATATTCTTACTTGCCAACTCACTTAACTAGTCGTCGGGTCAAATGATGGGTTGAGACAAATTAATTCGTTGATCCTTCTAACTTTTTTACTATCATTATAATGTTAAGTTTAAATAATTCGTATGATATTTATTATGTAAGTGATATGAGATTTATGGTGCAACAATATGTTATACATTTGATTTATTTTATTATATGTAAATTGAGATTTTTTGTGTTGCAAATTTATTGGAAAAGTTGTTATTATTATTATAATTACATATCTTTTATTATATAACGAATTTAGGATTTGTTATGTAGCAAATTAGGCTAAATATATTGTAATTTGTGATTTATTTTATTATTTAGGTAATTAATTTATGTAGGTCCTTTAGATCTGAAGAAAGAAATATGTTAGAAGAAATATCCAGAATAAATATGTTAACTTTTGTTTTTTGTAGACTAGCCTGTTGGTCGGTCAGCACCCTAAAATAAGGTAGGTCAAGACATCCAACTCGTTTTTACTTGACAGGTCAACCTATTTTTGGCAGGCTAACTATAAGGTAAAATCATTTTTTCATCCCTACTTGATCTCACTTAAAGTCACTCTTAGGGTCCTTTTTTTTGTTACTCTTGTGCTTAGTGCAATGACTTTTATGCTTAATGTCAAAGACATTGGTGTTCTTTATGATTATTGTGCTTAGTGAGAATTTAGTCATGCTTAGTACTAACGGTCAAGGAGCAAATTTTATCCATTGAAATCTTATGCTTGGTGAGGGTAATAATTGACGATTATGCACAAATTAAACAGCGCCATAATGACTACTATTGTCGTGTTGCAATCCAAAAATTGTTATAATTATTGTCACTAATATCATTGTCATAACTATCATTGTCACGAATATCATTGTTATTATCATCGTTGTCATCATCATTGTCATCATCATCATTGTCATCATCATCATTTTCACCTTGTTACAATCACCAACACTCATCATTGTTGTTATCATTATCACCATTTTTATCGTCATTATCACCATTATCACCATTGTTAATGATGTTGTCATTATCATTGTTATCACCACCACCTTGTCACTACCATTGTCATCACCACCTTGTCATTGTTGTTATCATCATCTTTTTTGTCATTGTCGTTATCGATATATCAAAATGGTTGCTACTATCATTGCCACTAAATTCACCACCACCATAATTTATTATTCGGTAGATATCAAATACATAACAAACTAACATAATAATATTTATTTTGTATCAAATATCAGATAAAATTAAAGTTTGTCATACTCTTATATCCTATCATATTGACCACCAAACAACTCCAAAAAAACATTATAATTTTTCTTTAAAAGTTATGGATTGATACACATTGGATTTTGAAATTAATTAAAAATTGAATGAATGATGTTTCATGTTTTTATAACCTTTTATATATTGATTAGAATAGATATTTTAAATGGTAACATTTTAAGAGACATTCTTAAATGGGAAGGCTCTTAAAATTTTTGTTTCTTAAATGATATTAATGTTTTTAGATTTTTCAAAATCTCTTTCATTTCTTTTTTACTTTTCTTTCTAAATAAAACTTCAATATTTAAAAAAATATATTTATCAATAATAAAGATCTATAAATTATTTATCATAAATATAATATTTATATATTTTAAAATATTTATTTATTTCAATTTTTATTATAATATAATTTATATATTTTAAAATATTTATTAATTATAAATTTTAGTTATATAAATAGATATTTATTTCTTCGAAATATTTACTTCTCGTAATTTTTAGTTGAAATATTAATTACAAATGTGAAAAAAAAAACACTTTAAAAATTCCCAAAAAAATTGTACAACAGTTTTTTTTGTTTGTTAATACATTATTTATTCTTAATCACTAAAAAGCCTAAATAACGGGTAGCTCAAATAAATGGGCCAAAACTCACACAAATGAGCCCACGCGAGTGTCAAAGACGGAAAGTGCAACGTGGGAATCCCCATCATTCATTCCGCACGTAAAAGCAAGGCGCAATCTCCACAATCAAAGAACAACCAACATCAACAAAACCAAACACCTCGTTCCCCAATTCAGCAATAGCTCCCACAAAGGCCGAGAAGAAGCCTCACTGATTAATCGAATCGTCGTATATAAGCTCGAAGGTTGTGACATTTTTTTAGGTCAAGAACTAGAAGAGCGAGGCAAGTCTTATTTAGGGGTTTAAGAATCGTATTGGGAGTGCAACGAGGGTTTAACGGATCTCCATAACCTCTGAACTTCGAGGTCTGCTGTATTTCATCCGATGGCTTTTCTGTCTGGAGTTCAGCGTCTGCTTCGGCACTCACCTCTTCTTCATTCCCACTATGCTTCCTTTCGTCTCAGCTCAACTCTCACTTCCCCTAAACTTTTCGTCAGCGGTTAGCAACCTACCCTTCGTTACTATGCATGAATCAGTACTTCATACTCCCTTTCTTTATATACATATTTGTGATGCGTTATGATGTGCAATAAGCTGCATTGTGCTTGTGTCACTAATAATGATTTTTTCCAACGAGGGTTGTCTTCAAACCTTCACTTATTTTCATTACCGTGCAAATTTGACATACCCATGTTAAAACCCATCCATTACTTGTCATCCAAAATTTAACTTGCAATTTTCTCCTGCCCTAGTTGTTATGTTTTGTCAAATTGCAATCCTTCCCACAAGACTTTGTTTGCTTAATCACAAGGGGAAGGTAAAGGAGAAGTTGCTGTGCATTTAATTTATTTTTATCACTATCTTAACTGCTGTTATTTTATCTGCACTTTAGAGGAGCCGTATTCGCTAGAATAATACATATTACGCTGAACATGTTGCATTTCAGAGTTGATTTCTCTTGCTTCTCTGGTTTGAGATAGGGGTTTGGGAACATAATTGTTGAATGAGGTTTCTTGTAAAAATATCCCTTTCAAATTTAAGTATCACCTCTAAGGCTAAGTCATCCATTTAGACAATGGTGCTTAATAGGACTAATAATGACATGATGCAGATATGTGTGGGTCTAAGGAAACTTTGAGTATGCCTGTAATGTATTTTTCTAAGGTAGAAACCCGCAGAACATTTTTTAAAACATTGTCTGGAAATTAGTCTCATTTGGTTGGAGTGGCTGTTCGTTGTCTTCAGTAGGTCATGGATTTGTCCATAATCGTACAAGTTTTCTTTAGATTGAGGAGAGCAACAACTTATGGTTACATGTTCTGTAGTCTGCACTACTAAGGGAAACTTTTGGTGCTACTGTTGCTTTGCAACAGTTTTCATTTCATGGTGTCTCTTTGATTTTCCACATATGTGTCTTTGCTAGGTTTCTCCTTAGTTGAAATGCATGTTCTATTGAGCCCCTCCATCACGATTGCTTTTATTTGTCTTATTGCCCAAGTATTGTATTTCCTTTTTCGTGTTCACTTTTCCCTTCTAATGAAGCTTATTTTTTTTATTTTAAAAAAACAGTGGTGAACCTAGTCATGAATGTAGATCAGAAGAATTTAGAAATTGTGGAAGACTTGTTAGCTTTACAAAACATTGAAAAGCAAAACTGGAAATATTCTAATATATTTATCTAGCATATTGTAATATATATGATTCTGTATTTAACATTTTTAAATGTGAATATTGTGCATTCAAATTTCAAACAGGTCTTTCTAGATTGACAACAGATGAAAAACTTAAGGAAGCGTTTTCTTCTTTTGGTCAGCTGGTTGAAGGTAATAATTAGCTTTTTTTTCAGTTTGAAGTATGTTGTGCTTGACCTTCAATTGTCCTGAATTTTTCACTATACAGCTAAGGTGATAACTGATAGAGCCTCTGGAAGATCAAAGGGATTTGCTTTTGTAACTTACACAACCGTAGAAGAAGCTGAAAAGGCAAGAGAAGGAATGAATGCTAAATTTTTGGATGGGTGGGTTATATTTGTTGATCCTGCCAAACCAAGAGAACCCAGACCTCCTTCGCAATCACAGTCTCAACCCTCTGAAACAGGTCTCACTGTTAACAAAACAGTTGGGTGGTGTGGTTAATTATAAAGTAACTTCGATTATGCTCACAATGTTTGAATGATTTTTTAAAGACTATATAATTCAATTCAATCAACTATACTGCAATTTGTTGAGAAATATTTGGATCAGTAAGTCGTAATTGATGATTGAACTTTGGCCATAAGGCATTACTATTAATTACTATTCATGCAAATTTTGATGTCCAATGGAAATTAATCCTTCCTTTGCTGACACGATGCAATATTCATACAGCTTCTTTTCCCTGGTATTATATCTTGTCATTTGTTTCATTACTAAGGTCGTTAGTTGTAATTTGGTAGGGGCTTTTTATTTACAATTTGTTCAACATGAATTATTGTTTTAGAATAAAGTCAATTATTGATTTCTAACAAAACAATGTATTTGGTTTTATGTCAGAGAAGATTGTTAGAGCAAAGTTAAACTATCTTTTATGCTTGAGATTAGACCCACATGCTCTGGACATTAAATCCTCTAAAAAGGTAAATGATGCAAAAATTATAAGGATTAGCTTTTAATCATGGTTACCCAATGAAGATTAGTTGTTGATTCGGCAGTTGATGCTTCCCATATAAAAAGCCATGACCCTTTCACTTGAGTTGAATGAATTGAGTGTGTATTAGTGTTTCATTCTAAGAGTCTCTTTCCTTTGAATCTAATTAGGTGTAATGGCATGAGTGCATTGGATTCACGTTAATTTTGGTTGGACGTGGATCAGTGGAACCAACAATTAGTTGCTTTTTTGTGTATTAATTTTGATGTAATTCCTGCCTAAACATGCACTTTGTTAATCTGCGTTCAAATGTTGGTTATGTTTTTTCTTCTTCGTATTCATATGCACATTGCTTGTGTGTTTGAGTGAATGTTTCTAAAATTGTTTGAGTGAATTGTATAAGCAGATTAGTGTGTTTGAATTGGCTTTCAATCCAATGCAAAAGATACTTAAAGATACTTTGAGTGTGTTTGAATTGGCTTTCAATTCTACTAAAATCAATTATAAAACCACGATGAAGGCAAAGTAACAAATAGTTGCTTTAACTTTTTGAATGCTTCACCTTGATTTTGGGGGTCAGAATTGATGCTTGGAGGTATCCAAACACCCTAAAAGTTGTTTCTGGATTCAGAATCAAATTTTCAACATTGAACCAAAAATGTAAATATTTACCTAAAATCATGTTGGTTGGTATTTCAAAGTGATTTTGATTAATAACATGAATCCAAACGTGCACTGAGTTTTAGATGTTGTTTGGTGGGTGCAAAATTGCAAATTGTTTCTGTGAACATAGGAGATGGTGCAAAATCCAAACATGCACCGAGTTTTAGACGTTGTATGCTGATGGGATTGCAGTTTTGGTTCTTCTAATTTTACGTGGAGTTGATTTTGATGCTCCTTATTCCAATTATTGGGTGGATTCACGTTTGGCATGTCTAGGAACAATTTTCCCATTGACTATGATGTTTGCATTGTGTTAAACACATGATTTCAAATTTTAGAATCAAATCTCATTGAAGCTATAAGTAGATTTTACATCAAAACTAACTTGAGTTATATTAAATATGTACCATGTCTACCCTTAGTTAGATTCAAGTTATTTTGGTAATTGAACATCCAAAATCAATTTTCAAAGCAAGATTTCGAACAACATTGTGTGTCAAAATTATTTTTCTTATATATGTTATCCTAACAAAAATCACATTACTATAAACTCATGTTTACTTGGAATCAATTCTACAGAAAATATCCAAGCACAATCATAATAACGTAGTTAGTTGTTATTGATGCGACTTTATCTCTGTTTGCATGGATTTGTGTTTTACTTTTTCTGATTTAGAAGTAAACTATATCAGATATCAGTCTTTAGTGTTGACTTTGCTGATGTGAAGATGAGATGGCATTTTGCCAAATCAGTGACAGTGTGACAAGAAATATTGTTGCTTTTGTAAATACAAGAGGCACCAAAGTTAAGAGAACTACAGTATAATTAAATTAAGCATGAAATTTAAAATTTAAGGGAAACACTCAAACTATACTTCTGTTGATTTGAAATTTGTATACATAGTTTTGTACCAGTGACCAGTGCTTGATTTTAACATCTTTGATAACTCGTGGTTCGGCATTGGCTTGTATTCAGTTGAAAGCATTGGAGGTTAAAGAATATGATTTCATTAGTTAATAACTTGCTTTAGCATCGTATTGTTAACTTGGTGTGAACTTGCTAAATACACCGATGCCTTCTTTTGGAAGTTTTTGCTTCTAAACCAGGTGCATGTTTGGTTTAGAGTCTCTGAACATTGGATCTCGTCAAGCCAAAAACTACTACAAATAGGTTCTACCTTTCTGTCTTGGTTTTATGTGAAAATATAACAATAAGCCTGCTAAGGACACTGGCCAAATCCAGACACACTTTACATTTTTATTACCTGTTCGGTTGCATAGAATCCAAGCTTGCAACTGATTTGAATGTTTTCTCATCCACGTTTGACTTTTTTCATGATTCTTCGTGGGAATTCAAGTTTAAAGGGTTGCGAGCGGAGTTATGCTCAGCATCCCATTTCCATTGTTAAACAAAGATTGATTTCCCTTGCTTTTCACAATTTAAATCTCACAAGCCCGCTTCCATGGAGCTGTTTTGAACATTAAATTACATACTGTAAAGGATGTGATAGTGTGATACATTTCTACAATAATACATTATCTTTGCTCAGGGTATTAATCTTTAGGCATTTGTTTCTTTTTCCTTTTGCACTAAAGCTAGATGTTGTGATGTTAGATGCTTGATTTGCGGGTATAAATGAGGTCAAAAAGCAAAGAAAAAAACATTTCGACAACTCCCTCCACAATTTTAACTATTTTACGGAGAGAGAAAAAAGTTATTTAAAAAATAAGTTGTATGTTTGGAGAAATAGATGAGATTTATAATAAAAAAAAGTCTATTTTCTTTTGAAAATTATGCTATTTTCATGTATTTAATAATTTAAAGTTTATGGCTATTTTCTAACATTTTTTCACCTTTGTACATACTTTCTCGATATGTCAAAATTGATATATATTTTTGTGCGTAAATAAAATTATCTTAAAATCATTTTTTAATAAATTTACCGAATCAAAAACTCATTTTAATTATAATGAAATTTCAAAAAAAAAATTTACTTAGAGTATGATTGGGTAGCTGTAAAAATTAAATTTATTAGCTATATAATTTACAACAATAGATAGATCGATACCAAGTTTTGGTTAACACAATTTTTTTTTCTTTTTTTAATCTTTTATTTATTACATGAAGAATATGTTTTACTTATTTAATATCAAGTGTTTAAATAGTCTCCCTCCATATCAAGGGTCAGAACCACAAGTGTCATGTTTTCATTCATATAGATAATTGTTAAGTGTATTACCATGTTTTCATTCATATAGTGGTTAAGGGTCGAAAGTAACTTTATTTATGTATTATTTTAAAGCAAATAATGGGTAAAGAGTATGAGAAGTTGTGGTAGTCAACGGTTAAAGACAGAATAGAAAGGAAATCACGTAACATTTTCTTTGACCTTTACATGTGTTTACAATTACAATTATGTAGCGTATAATATTTTTGGTATAATTTAAGCATTATAATTATAAAAAAAATTGTAGTATTAACAAAACATAAAACATAAGTAAAAAAATAAAAATAAAAAACTTTATATTTTTTTTAATATTACAGTATTATACTATTGTGATATGCATTTCAATTCATCAATGAAAAAGGAATTATAAATATCAAGTTTAACATAATAAAAATACATTATCTATACCAATAACAAATTAGTCCAACATTGCTAGTATCAAATTATGGAAATATACTAACACTTATTTAAAATCAAACAATTGTTATCGATATTTGTAGGCATGTTAAATTTAAAATGATTTGAAAATTGTGTAGAATTTGACCATTTTAACTAAAAAAAAAATTAGAAAAAACTATGATTTATTTCATAATTAGGGACAATCTAACTTAAAGTTAGGTTACAAATATCAATAAATGATCCAATATTTTCACACTTTGTTTTGGATTTAGAAACTTGTATTTTCAATCTTGATCTCCCTTAGAGTCACTTTTAAAAAACATTTTATGACTTTTGTTTTTATTGCGAGGATTTTTATGATTGGTATAAGAGATACTAGTGTTCTTTGTGATTAATGTGTTTAGTGAGAATTTGATAATGCTTAGTATTAGAAATTAAAGAGCAAAATTGACCCTTTGGAATCTCATACTTGGGGAGGGTAGTTCATACCTTAATCAGGTTAATTGATGATTATGCACAAAGTGAGTATCATTATCATGACAACTTTTGTCATGCTACCATCACCAATGTTTCATAATTGTTGTTACGGTTGTCATTGTCACAACCATCATTCCTACTATTACAATTGTTATTACCAACAATTTACGGTCATTGTCATTAGTATCACCATCTTTATCGTCATTGTCATCGTCGTTAATGATATTGTCACTATGATCGTCATTGTCATCATCGTTAATGATATTGTCACTATGATCGTCATTATCACTACCTTGTAATTGTTATTATAATCATTGTCATCATCACCTTTTTATCATTGGCATTATCAGTATTGTCACTAACATCATTGTAATCACCACCATCCACCACAGACATTTATCATTATTTATCAAGTATCAAATACATAACAAAATAACATAATAACATTATTCAATATATACCAAATATTGATTAATATTAAAGTTTATTCTAGTATGATATTTGACCACCAAATATCTCCATAGAGTATTATTATTTTTTTTTTTTTACAAGCTACATGTAGATATACAAAAGAGTTTAGAATTAATTAAAAGACCGAATGAGTGATTTTACATTTTTTTAGAATATCCTTTTACATGTAAATTAGAGTAATTATTTTGAGTGATAATATTTTAAGAAACATTCCTAAATAAGAAGTTTCTTAAGATTTTTGTTTATTAAATGATATTAATGTTTTTAGATTTTTCAAAATTTATTCTCTCTTTCATTTTTTTTCTTCTAAATAGAACTTCAATATTTAAAAAAAAAAACATTTATCAATAGTAAGATCTATAAATTATTTATCATAAATTTAAAATATATTTTATTTGTCCAAAATATTTATTTATTGCATTTTTTTATCATAATATAATTTATATATTTAAACATTTATTAATTATAAATTTTAATTATATAAAGTAGATATTTATTTCTTTAAAATATTTAATTTTCTTATATTTTATTTAAAATATTAATTAAAGTGAAAAACACTTAAAAAATTTCCAAAAAATAGTATGATAAATTTTGTTGATACATTATTCATGACTAGAAAGCTTCAAACAATAACGGGTAAATCAGATAAATGGACCAAACCTTACAAAAATGAGCCAACGCGAGTGTCAAAGACGGAACGTGCAAGGTGGGAATCCCCATCATTCATTCCGCATGTAAAAACAAGGCGCAATCTCCACAGTCAAAATACGCCCAAATCAACAAAAGCCAAACACGACACGTCATCGATCCGCGCGACGCATTCCGTTCCAATGAAAACCGATCTCTGAGTCCTATAAATACACACATTCTCCGGATCTGAGCCTCATCCCACACCACACTCCTTCTCTCTCGTCAGAACATCTTCTTTTCCTTATTCAACAATGGCTCCCACAAAGGCAGAGAAGAAGCCCGCAGAGAAGAAGCCCGCGGAGAAGGCCCCAGCCGATAAGAAGCCCAAGGCCGAGAAGAAGATCTCGAAGGAAGGAGGGAGCGACAAGAAGAAGAAGAGAACGAAGAAGAGCGTGGAAACCTACAAGATCTACATCTTCAAGGTTTTGAAGCAAGTGCATCCCGACATCGGGATCTCCAGCAAGGCCATGGGGATCATGAACAGCTTCATAAACGACATCTTTGAGAAACTCGCGCAGGAGTCCTCCCGATTGGCCAGGTACAACAAGAAGCCCACCATCACCTCCCGCGAGATCCAAACGGCGGTGCGTTTGGTCCTCCCCGGAGAGCTCGCCAAGCACGCCGTTTCCGAAGGCACCAAGGCTGTCACCAAATTCACTAGCTCTTAGATTCCTTCTCTGCTTTATGTTGCCCCCATTTGCTTTACATTTAATTAGGGTTTCTTCGTGCTTTCTTATCTTCAGGTTGTAGATGTAAAATAAAACTTTATATTTAAATAATATAATTTCTGTTTTGCTATTTTGTGTCATTGTGGAGTTTTATTCCATTGTTGCGTGTTTTAACAGTGTTCTTTATGGGCGATCCGTTAACAGTGTTCTCTACCGGTAGCCGCATCTTTAATAGCGGAAGTGTCTGGTTAGTAAGCGAATTTTTAATGTTTTCTGTTGGTATTTTGGATTGTGTTCTTGAAACTGTCTTTTTTGTGGATATGATTTGGGCTTAACTTGCTCATTTGTAGAAAGTTGTCGAGTTTTGTTTGATTGTTGTTGGTTCTGGTTCTGTCTTTTGTGAATAGGGTTTGGTGGGTTAAATGCTCTTGGTGTGCGTTAGCGGCGAAGTTATGATCTAATTTAATGCAGTCATGTAAAATCAGTTTATGTTTTTGCTGTTGTGAGAAGGGCACATTTCTATTCAAGTTTGAGTGTCTCTTAAGAAGCATAATAGTTTTGATATGTGCCTTGCAAATGCTATGTCTTCGATTCTTCATAGTTATATTTACAGTTCGGGTGTGTTTGTAAAAGAGTTACATTCAAAGTTTTGTGAATTGGATCAAGTGAAAGTTTGTTGAATACCATCCTGATAATAAACCAAACGCACACTTCTGTTTCATTTTTGAACCTCGCAGAGCTTGTTATTCCTGCTTGCTTTAGTTCTGTTTTTCGATAGTTGGTGTTATAATGTGGATGATATTTTGTCACTTGTTTGAACTTCACTGTTGGTGATGACATTACTCGTGTAATGTCACGTAATTTGGTTTGTTAACTTGTTGATTTGTGGAAGGATGGTATAGCTCACTCAGTCTTGTATGCATTTTGCTTTTCCCTGTTTAAATTTTTGGCTCTATTCTTTTTATGTTTCCGCGGTACACTCAAATTCGAAGGGGTGGCACTTTTGGTTCAGTTCAGGGTTGTAAAATACAATAGGAACTTTTCTGATCATATAAGACACTGATATTTATTGAAAAGGATAACCTCTCTGAACAGCATATACTCTTTTGTACAAATTAATTTTGGTATCGTATAAATGAGCAAAAATGAGCAAGACTTGCGCTAATGCTAATGTGATTTGGGGTTTTCGATGGTTGCCTGGTACTCCTGGGATGAGTGAGAATAGTATAAAAGTATGCTCAATGATGTATTTAAATTGAATGTTCTTGATAGAGTTTTTAACAAATTTGTACTCTAATAGTATAATCGTTAAAAAAATTAAATGAGCTTTGCATATTATTTCTGTTGTTATTAATCATATGAAGCGGTTTCTTACATTCGGAGCATCTCTAATATGGAGAATATCTTAACCAAGTTCTTATAAGATTGGGTTTTTATATAAGAAAATTTGCTTTTATGGGCAACTGTAGCTTACATTAGAATTCATTGCTTAATTGAATGAATAATGAACCTATAAAGCATTCTTTTAAGAACAAGTTAGTTGTAAATTGGTACTTAGCAACAAATTGGAATGCATTTGTTTCTTAATTGTGAGAACGTCGAGCCGACTAATAATTCTTTTATTTTTTGTTTGGATGAGAACTTTGAATTGAGTGATTTTTTTTTTTCTTGAAAAATTCCTAATGTTTAGGGGTGAAGTATTTTGTTTAAATGAAAAAGTTATAAAGAATTCGAAATTTAAGTAATGATGAAAATTGAAATTAAAATTGAAGTAATTTAAGTTTCAAGAATTTTAAATTTCTTAAAATTTTAACATTTCTTATCTAAACATATTTTAAAGAACATTAGTGTTGGAGTGAAAATGCATAAAATTTTTAAGTTTGGCATGACATTGTAAAATCTACATTACTAAGTTAAGAACTTGCCAAAAAATCTTTTTCTACAATAATAAGTTAAGAACTTGCTTAAAAACCTTAACATCATATATGCTCTTAAAAGTCATTTCAATCATATTCCATTCTTTCAATAAATATTTTTTCAAATATATGGATTGAATTTTTACTGTTGACCTCTTCTTACAAATGTATTTTCTATACATTAAACTAAGAATTAAATTTCTAATTAGATGTTTAAGAAATATTACTATGTTACGCTTTGTTAGTATATATTTTTTAATTGTTAACACATAGACTATTTTAAAAAGCATAATTTTTTTTACATTTTATTATACTTCAAAATATCATAATTTGTATCGTGATTTTTTTCCAAATCAAAAGGGATTGAGGTAATTTAGCACTGAATACTTATTTACAAGGAAAATAAATAAATTTTAAATTTTTTTTTTAAAGTAAAACATTTATCTTTATAAAAACATCATTAACATTTTTAATATGATTTCTAACATGTCTTTTATTATTAATTTTTAAAAATAGCTATATACAAAATGAATAAGTTAAGAGAACAATGCTTTTAAGAGAATCAAGTGTAGTGTTAATAGCAAAAGCACTACAAAAACCGTAAACAAAATTCACTTAGAAAGACTCACAGCCAGTTATAATTTAAACATAATATAATCCCATCGTTTAATTTACATAACCAACCTTACTGATAAAAAGAAGCTCAATGTCGTCCTTTGATATATATAGGCAATCTGCACGTAACTGCAGATGTGGCTTAGATCAAGATTTAGATAAGATGTTGTTATCAGAGTCGTATTATAATATAACAGGCCCATATTTGTTATTGGGCTTGACCTAAGGCAATGGGCTTGTGAGCGGTAAAAAATATCTAAGGTGATCGCGATGATCGAAACGTGTACGTGGTAGATTCGGTCTCGTAGACAGACAACACAGCAGGATCCTTGACCTTATAGATTCCCTTGCTATAAATCCATTTTCCCCCTCCATCGCAACGACCTAATCCAAATCCAGTACCGTTCTTCCTCCGACACATTTTTCTCCGATCCCCAATTTCTCCTCCTTCATCGTTGTCTTGTTTTTTTTGTTATATCAAACTGAGATAATAGATAGATAGATCTCTCTATGGGTTAATTCCGAATCCGATCTAACTATTTTCGCTTTAGGTCTTTTAATTTGGATTTGAGGTCTTCCAATACTCTTCGATTCGTTTCTCCCTTCAATCGAACGCTGTTGTGTTCAGGTCTCGTTTTGTTAGGCGTTTGAGTATTAGGGGGTTTCGAAGAGCATAGAATAATGCCTTCGCTGCCCGTTGATCTTGACTTGGTTCCTTCCTTGACCATTTTCAATGGTGCATCCTCCTTTCATCGTCTGAAAAACCTTGAAAAAAGTGATCGGCGTGGTAATCTTAGTTAACAATAGGACTTCCGTTTTCTCCCTTTCTTCTTCGTTTCTCTCTCTTTATTCCTCTTCTTCGTCGTCGTTGTTGTTGTTGATATTGTTTTGCTCTGAACGAGGTGCGAGTTAATCCGTCAACAGATCGGGGATCAGGGGATTCGTATTGTTGTTCTTTCTGTGGTTGCTATTCGCAGTTCCTGTTTTGATATTGTTATAGTTGCAGCACCAAACGTCGTTTTAAGGTATGTTTGTGTAATATTGTTTAATTTGATGTTTTTTTTGAAAGAGCTTTTTTGGGATATAATAGCTTAAGTGTCATATGTTTTCCGATTTGTGTTTGTAATGTATGATGTGATTGCTATGATGTTTTTTTTAGGACGAAACTTAGATGCAGTTATATAGGTACTGTCGGTGCTGGTGTTGATCTCTGATCAGAATTAGTTTTTTTATCTAGGTAATATAATTAAATATTTAATGCAGACCATGGTAATATACATTTACGCAAGATGTAACTCTAATTCTGATTGAAAAACAGTATCAGTACTATCTATGGTAGTGTAACTAAGTTTTGTCCTTGTTTCTAATGAGTTTTGCCTTTGTTATCTATGTAGAACATGTTTCTAGATAATATGTATGCCTATCTTGTATGTTTGTATTCAAAATCATGTTAGTGTGAACAGATCTGGCTCTGATTGTTATCTTTTAGCTAACAACAATGGGATTATGGAAATGGTTCGACAAGGTTGGATTGGCTGTGTTTAACTGTTTTATTTTATTTGTTGGTGTACTTTGTTTTGGGGGTAATTTACTCTTGAATTGTGATACTATCTAAGTCATCTTGAATCTACTTGAACTGACTGACTATGCTCGGGGTATGAACTCTACCTTGTTGGTCTCAAATTTTACCTTTAAAGGGAAATATTGAACATTTTCTTCTTAGTATTACGCATTGCCGTGGCACTTCTGTTTTGTTTTATAGGCAACTTGATTAAATGTCTATATAACTTAACTGGATCCTTGCTGTAATTAAACGGGTATCCTTGCTCCTGTTCATTGAAAGGACTATGTTTTAATAAGATTTGCCCAACTGAAGTCGGATAAAATGTTATTTGCAAAAATAGAACCTTCAATATGCGTATTACTTACATTTTTATTCTATTTGAAGGATTTTTTTTATTGGTAAATATGTTTGCCCCTGTATTTATGTATATTTTAATATTCAATCAGGTATGTATGTCATAGAATTTAATTCGAATACATTGCTAGTGTAATGTTTTCCATACTGCACTGTAATCTAATCATAGAATCCCATATAATTAAAAATGTTACATTTTCTAATAATTAATTGGGAGAGACCAGCAACACACTTTTTGACACACACACACACACACACACATATATATATATATATATACCTTTGAGCACACTCTTTTGAATTTTATAATATCTAAATTATATGGATTTCACATCTGTTTTATTTATTCTCTCTTATGATATAATGATTTTCAATAAATTTCAACCAATGGAAGGGAGTTGGGTTAAAAGAGTGTGTTAGAATCCTCTAATTAATCTAAAGGTTTGTTTGGTTCAAAGGAGGGGAGGGAAGTGATTTTAATGGAGGGGTGGTGTTATAAATTCTGTTTGGTTGATAAGAAGGGAGCTAGTTCTTTTCTTGTTTGGTTCACTAACTATTTTGTCATCTTTATAGAGAACCTAGTGGGGGACTATTGGCTCTTATCTGCTAGTTCATATTGGTTTGTCACGTATCATCAATGCAAAACTTTTATGATGCCCTTTTAATTTAATTATGGTCCACAATATACGTAGACTATGTGTGGAATGTTTTATTTAATTTATATGTGCGGAATGTTTTATTTTTTATTTGCTTATCATGTGGTTTAGCGATTAGTTATAATTGTGTTTTTATTATTCATCTGATATGTTGTTTCTTTTAGTTGCCTCTTAGTACCTGATACAATTGATGGACACGAGCTCCAATATTAATGTGCATGACGACAACTTCATAAGTAATCTTGGAATGACTTTTTGTGAGTCATTACATATTCAAGATGCCCAGAAATCTGCAGATGCTTCAGAGGGGATTGATAAAAGTAATGTGAGTGAGGAAAAAATGTGTGAAGCAGTTAAAAAGCAAGAGACAAAACTTAATATGATGTGCTTGAAAAAATCGGCAACCTTTCCAATTTCTTCAAGTTCCTCTGATATGGAGGCTGATACTTCAGTTGCAGAAGCACTCTATGAGCATTCTGCTCATCAAACTTGCTCACGCTCGATTTCTCTGCCTGTAAGTTTTCTGATTTATATCAGTAAACCTTTAATAATGTTTGAATGTCTATTATGTAAGCAATGTATGCTTTGTTCGATGAGGAAATACTGAAAGATTTAGAAAGGATTGTTTACTTGTGTTTCATTAAATAATTTCCTGTGTTCTACATCAAAATTGCTCTCAGACTCTGTTGGTACATTGTGCATTCTTCTTTTATACCAGCATTTCTAGTTATGTAAAGGGTGACTTTGCCCCTCCCACCTAGTGGTGCTTAGGGCAGATAGATGTATAACATATGCAGAAGAGGTAGTTTTCAGGATCAACTTTGACCTAGGTCACTATCACAAAGCAGCAACCTCACTGCTGAAGACTTGCACACAAGTGTTTCTGGCATTTTTGCCCAGAGGCATGGGATATGAATTCATTGCAGTTAATTATCTTATTTTAAGAGTATCACATGTAAGGTTAAGGTTATATTTCGTTTCTTGTGTCCTATGGTTTTGGTTTGGTTGTTGAGTTTCTATTAAAAATTTTCACCTTACTATATATGCATTCTAGACAGGCGATAGAATCAAATTCTGTGAAGTATATAGTTATTGACTCATCATACGGACTAATATCTATCTTAGCATGTGCCATTTTTTGTTTAATGGCTTACACTATTTTTGTATTTTATATCACAGTCTCCTTTAAAGCTTATATCTGCCATGAAAGGTAGCCGTGAGAAACATGGGGTATCGCAGGTGAAATTGAATGTGAAATGGGCCCCTGATGTGTATGATCCGGTACCTACATTATTATCACACACTGTCAGAAACAAGAAGCCGCAGAAATCTAGGAAGAAGAAGTCTGACAAGAAGAATGGAAAGAAGGGACAAAAGGGAAATTCATCTCGAGGGGGAAGCAGCAAAGATAAGCAGTTTCGCAAGCTAAGTGGGACTCCGAGTTTGTGCTATAAGTCAGTTGATGCTTGTGATAAATTGATTGGAGCTGCTACTGAATTAGGCGCTCTTGATGTTCCTAATTCTTGTGATAAAGTGATTGGAGCTTCTACTGAATTAGATGCTTTTGATGTTCGGAGCCAGGACTCATACTGTGGAACTAGTTTCTTGAAAAAATCAGTTACAGAAGTGCACTACTCGGTTGCACAAGCTTTATGAGTGAAATGCTTTGAATGTTTTGTACTGTTTCCCCCAATGTACATAAATAAGTAATGTTTTGCTGTTGGCTTGTATGGTGAAAAAAAAAGAAGACATGGGATTGTATGGTGAAAGCTGTTTGATACTCTTAATTGAGCACATGTAGTCTAGAATGGCTTTTTTATTTGTAATGTGTGACAGTTTTTTGTAGATGAGGCCATGTGACATTTTTTGTTCTATCTTTGGATTTGTGATTTGATTAGATTCGAATGGTCAATGTTGCTTCTAAAATCTAGATTCTTAAAAAAAGAAAAAATCTATATTAATCCATGTTAAGACGGGAATTGATTATTTTATGTTCAAATCACAACCTGCACGTGTACTAGTTCTGTCAACCTCTTTTAGTAGTAATTGAAAAATTGTTTTGTTCGATTGGCACCACTTTTATAATAGTTGGGATGGAAATAATGGTATGTTCAGTTGGCAAAGGAAAGCAGAAATAAATTATTGTAAATAAAATAAATTAAAAAAAAAAGTATTGTGTGATTGGGAAGAAATTAGAAATACAGAAAATTTAGTTGAATAAATTGATAGAAAAATGTCAAATTATGAATATCTTCATTCCAATTATGCAAGGTAAAATAGTATTTTTATCATATTAACTTCTGTTTCAATTAAATAAGTTAAGGACTAAATTAAGGAATAAGACATAAATAAATTTTTTTCTTTACTGCATGATATAAATCAATTTAAAACCTACTTTATACTAATATCTGTTAAATAAAATTAAAAATGTACCTTTAGAAAACCTGTATATATATATTCAGATATCATGGCATATGAGGTTATTCTTCCTAATGTTTTTTTTTTTTATCAAATCTAAAACTTAAATTTGAGACATTGAAGCTCGAGGAACAACCACAATATTAGTCAAACTAACAAACATGTTGAATTCTCTAAGTATAATTAATTATCAAATATATAAAAGTTTTCTAAATTTGCTGAAATTTATCATTTTCATTTAAATCGATTTATAAAAGTCTTAGCTATCTCATTTAATAAATACTAATTTATATTTTTCATAAGGATGACAAATTGTATTCAGATATTACAAATACCTACAAAAATACCTGCAAGCGAAGTAAAAATTTACTTGTAAAAATACCTACAAGCGAATTAAATATTTATCCGCAATTTTAAGCATAAGGCATATATATATATATATATATAGAAAATGAGAATTACATTCTTTTATCCACCTTACTCCTCAGCTACTATATATTGATATAATTAAATAAAATAATAAATATAGCTTAAATATGTAAAAATTAAAAATAATAAAATAGTTCAACCCAATTCATCGTTACTCAATTTAAAATGAGTTAGGCTAAGTTGGCACGCCAATTTAAAATAGGTTAAAAATCTAAATTAACTGGCTAATGTATTAAAAATAAAAATAAGAAAAGGAAAACGGTTGAAAAAATATTTTTTTATAAAATTAATTTAAATAGAAAGATTTACTCAAAAGATGTAATATATATATATATATATA